GGGACCATCTCCAACACGGAGGGCATCAACAGTGAGTGCCCTGGGGACACGGGGACAGGGGACACGGGGATGAGCCCCCCCGGGACAGGGGACACAGGGACATGGGGTCCATGAGGCTGCTTGGGGGGCATTTGGGGACCAGAACCCCTCCAGGATTCCCTGTGGTGATGCCACACACGTGTGCAAGCGCACGTGTCCTCGCGTGTCCGTGCCCCCATGTGCAGTCATGTGTGTCCTCGCATGCACGCGTGTGCCCCAGGCGTGGTGAAGCCCGACACGTACAAGCCAGTGCCGGATGAGCCCCCGAATCCCACCAACGTGGAGGAGACGCTGCAGCAGATCCAGGCCAATGACGGGGCTCTGGAGGACGTCAACCTCAACAACATCAAGGTGAGGGACCTGGTGGCAGTGTCCCCAGGGTGTCCGTCCCAGTCCTGGGGTGCCAGTCCCCAGCCTGGGGTGTCCCCATGGGGCTGCTCCCTATCCCAGGGTGTCTCCAGGGCACCCCAAGGTGCTGGTCGCCATGCTGGGGCATCACTGTGGCCCCCACATTGTCCCCAGGGTGTCCCTGGGTGCTGATTCCCTGCCCAGGATGGTGCCAGGGTGATGGGTCCCACCCTGGGGTGTCCCTGTGAGGCTTGGTCACCCTGTCCCAGGGTGCTGCTCACTGTTCTGGGGTGTCCCTGCATGGTTGGTCCCTGCCTTGGGGCATCCCTGAGGTGTTTGTCCCCATCTTGGAGTGGCTCCAGGGCACCCCAGGGTGCTGGTCCTCACCCAGGGGCATCCGTGTCCCCTTGGTGACATCCTGCATCCCCTCGGCGCCACTTACATCCCTTGGGTGACATCAGCACCCTCTCGGGGATGCCCCCCTACCCTTGGAGACATCTACACCCCCTCGATGCCACCCTTGGTGACACGCGCGTCCCCTTGCTGCAGGACATTCCCATTGCCACGCTGAAGGCCATCTGCGAGGCCATGAAAACCAACACCCACGTCAAGAAGCTCAGCCTGGTAGCCACCCGCAGCAATGACCCCGTGGCCAGCGTGAGTCCCAGCACCGTGTCCCCCATGTCCCCACACGTCCCCAGACAGGGGGTGGACGTGGTCCCCTGCCTCCGGCTCCATCCTGGGCGCCAGCAAGCCCAGGTGACAGTGGCTTTTCCACCACCACGTGAGGCATTGGTGGCCCAGGACATGCCAGAGCGGGGGGTGCCAGCCCTGGGTGGCACCCTGAGGTGACACCCTGAGGTGACACGCAGGCCGTGGCTGAGATGCTGATGGAGAACAAGACCCTGCAGAGTCTCAACATCGAATCCAACTTCATCACCAGCACCGGCATGATGAGCATCATCAAGGCCATGTACCACAACACCACCCTGAGCGAGCTCAAGGTGGACAACCAGGTAGGGACAGGCACCCATGGGTGGCCCGGGGAGGGGACAGAGGTGTCCCCAACTTCCCGGCGTGCCTGGTTTCACCCCGGCCTTGCAGTGCCAGCGGCTGGGTGACACGGTGGAGATGGAGATGGCCACCATGCTGGAGCAGTGCCCCTCTGTTGTGCGCTTTGGCTACCACTTCACGCAGCAAGGCCCCCGCGCCCGCGCCGCCATCGCTATCACCAACAACAACGAGCTCCGTGAGTGTCCCCTGTGTCCCCTCCTGGGGCAGGAATCGGGGTGGGGGGTCCCAGCCCTGATCCACCCCCTCTTTCCCCTGCCCCCAGGTCGCAAGCAGAAGAAAACCTAACGACGCCCCCCGCAGCACCAACAAGCTCTGGCTCCTGCTCCCCGGCGCCGCTGTAAATAAAGACGGCGGAGAGATGCGGCTTTGGGATCT